TTTTTTTTTTTTTTTTTACCTCTAAAATTGATTCAATTGAAATGTGTAGATGTTTTGCCAAATTTAGCTGTTTGTGTGTCATTTGTTTCCCCATATCGTTTCATCACCCCCAAATTCTGCCCATTTGGTCTGAAAATGAAAGAGAGGGGGGGTTCTCTGCTGCTGGATTATGGTATTAAAGTTTCTGTTTTAACAAGAAATGATGCAAAGCAGTCAGAGGCGTCGCCTCACCCGATTTTTACAACTTTGGTCTGACTGATTTCAGCGACCAGAGTTCTATGTCGTCAAGCCGTACTCAACAGATGTATGCATTCAACTGGATCCGCAATCACCTAGAGGAGCACCCAGAGACGTCCCTCCCCAAGCAAGAGGTTTATGATGAATACAAGTGAGTGCAGACGGGCAGTGAGGAGGACAGAACAATAATATGTTTCTGTACTTATTAAATTATTTGTGGGATTTTTTTGTTTGTTTCTTTGTTTTTGTTTTTTTGGACACTCATACTGATTTTTGTCTTCTTGCAGGAGCTACTGTGACAATCTCGGCTACAATCCACTGAGTGCTGCAGACTTTGGGAAGATCATGAAGAATGTTTTTCCTAACATGAAGGCGCGTCGTCTGGGCATGAGGGGCAAATCCAAATATCCTTCAAAACTTTAGTCTTTGCTACATGTTGTTTTGTTAGGCTGTTTTACATCAAATATTGTTAGCTTGTTTTAAAAGCTGACATCAACCCTCAGAAAATTTGACTGCACAAGATTTCCGCACGCAGAGGAACCCGCATGTGAATTAGACTTTTGAGAATTTCTTACCACGTCAGCTTTATAAGCTCAAGACTGGTGAAAAGCAGGGAAATCTGAGCTTTACCAGATTTACTGGTTTTTTGGAATCAACTTGTTTGTGACTTGGTAGCTTTGTATTGCCTTGCTGCTGAAAAGTGCTATATAAATAAATTTTACCTTACCTTAAAACTCTTGTTAGAAAACACACGCTTTCTTTGGCTTTACTTCCAAAAATGTTACTCAAAATGGTTCAGTTATTTTTCCTCTCATTAAACTACAAGAAAATATTTTTATTGGTAGTTTTTGCAGAGGAACACTGGTAAATATATGTTTTCATATATGTTTTTGGTAGTTTTTGTAGAAGAATAACCAAATTTGAGTAGTTTACTTCAAATGTCAACAAAAAATAATAATACAGCAAATTATGTTTTTCTGTTTTATTTTTTATTTTAAGTAAAATATATATTCATATTTTTAATTCTTAGATTTTCAAAAACATTTTATATTTATAAGGTTTTATTAACCTTATATAGCTGGGAAAAATTTAAATAAGCACAAAGCTTGGGACTCAAGAGGTTAAAACTGGTGGGGCACAGCCCCCCGTGGCCACCCCCACTCGTTGTGCCCCTGGTGACTGGCAGGTGATGTTCCACAGTGAAATGACGAGCTGGAGCACTGTGCATCTCTGTTAGATCTAGCTGGAAGACTTTTTAAATTCATCATCTGAGGTAAACAGCTGATTTGTTGTCAGGCTGAGCTTTATGGGAGTTTTCAGATCAAATCTGCTCGGCCCCGTTAGAGCTGCTGCACTGTGCACTCTGCTGGGTGTCAGAGACAAATGAAGATTTCATTTATGCGGCTCTAATAGGGACAAGGCATTTCTTATTTTGTGAATGTTTAGTTTTTAATAAGTACCACTTTGTTTTAGCAGCCCGCCTAGGGTTATTGGGACTAGTTTTTCTGATCTCCGCTCTTCATTGTCAGCTCAGGTGGCGCCCTGCAGAGCAAATCAGCTGTGCGCTATGATCGGCCTGACCGGTGCTGACGAGAGTTAGAGAAGTCATTTGATATGACATCGTTTGGAGCACAATGGATCCAGAAAAACATCAGCACCCCAGAACCTGTCGCTCCTTGATGTCTGGCTCGCCCTGCGCAGATGCACTGCTTGCGTCAGACTGGTGGTTCACTCCAGATTCGCTTTAGCCTGTGGGCCGGTTCACGGACTGAACCACCGGCCCTCTGACCTGCGTCTGGGCCGGTGGTGCAGCTCGTGGGCCGGTTCACGGCCCACCAAACCGCCGGCCCACCGGGGTTTTCCCCGCTAGCCCAGTATGCCAGTCTGCCCCTGCCTCAAACTAAACTAAGAACCATAACAGATCAGACGTTCTTCAATTTCCAACCCACTTATTGTGGTTGTTTATTTTAGCTTTACAGTCCACATAATCAACATATTTAGAACCCAGTAAAATCGTGTGTGTGTTTTAATATAAGGTTTATTATTTAACCATTTTGGGATGTTAGAAGTGTTTTTTCCCAATAATTCAGTAAATCTGGTAAAGCTCAGATGTCCCAGCTTTTTACCAGCCTTGAATGCAACATTACACGTGTGAATCTGCAGTGGTAAGAAGGTCTCAAAAGTCACATTCTCAGATCCATGCTCTTGTGCATGTGTGAATCTTGTTGCTCACTTGTTCAAATCTTGTTACCTGTGCATTAAAATCTTTTTGAGAGAGTTTTAGCTCAATACATTCAGCACTTGCCTTAACTGCTTTGCACATACTGTTATAGCGGGTTGAGAAAGAAAGCATTTGTTCACATGCCATCCCTACCCAACCTAGATCTGCAGAAATCTGGTGACGGGGTGAGTGTCACTACACCACAGAAACATTAGACAAACCTTTGTGTTGGTTTGATTCTCTAAACCCTGCTGCTCCCCTTGTTTTGACCAGTGCGAGCTGATGGAACCGACGGGTCAATCTCCCAGCGCAGAGGATGAAATGAGGTCTGCAGCGTGTGGACTGGTGTGTGAGTGGGCTCAAAAGGTCCTGAGTCGTCAGTTTGACAACGTGGAGGACCTGGCTCGCTTCCTGCTCAATAGTCACTACATTGGTACAAAGTCCATGGCTGCACTCACTGTTATGACTGGAACACCCACAGGTAAACAGATACTATATACTGTATGTAAAGTTTAAATAAGGAGGAATTCAGACCAAAGCATTGCAGTTTCACTTGATATGTCCATTTTAAGGAATACATATCATCCTCTGCCTTTCTTGTCAGAGATTTAAGCTAAAATCATTTTATGTTAAGAAAAAACAGACACTTCTGGTGAAACTTAATGACCTTTTATGTACAATCTTGAGTTGTGATATTGCTCAGAGTATGTGTCAAGAATTACTCTCAGTTGACTACCACACCAGATTTTAGCTTGATATCTGAAAAACTATCTGAGTTGTAGTCATTTTTGTCTTTATGACTGCTTAGCTGTGGCAGCCATCTTAAATATGATTTACTGTAAAAGTTAGTGAGCTGTAGATGTACGTATAACAACTACTGTATATTCTTAGAGTCTCCTTAAAATCTGTCCAGTAATTTATGAATCTAAAGACAGATGAATACACACACACACACACACACACACACACACACACACACACACACA